GATTTCTTTAAAAAAATTTATTCGCGACACGGTGGATGGGAAACCTCGTTCTAGATTTTGCCCAAAATCTCGAATTCTCGAAAAATTGATGATATTCGAACAGCTATAACTTTGTGCAAAAAAATCGTATAGCAATGAAACTTAGCTCATTTTAAAGCCCGAAGTTTCTACTTTCGGAAGCAGTTCGTCAATTTCTTTGAAAAAATTTATTCGCAACATGGTGAATGAGAAACCTCGGTCCACGAAATTTCCAACCCTCGAAACATCGACGATATTCGAAGTACTGTAACTTCGTGAAAAAAAATCGTAGAACAACAAAACTAAACTCATTTTAAAGCCTGAGGTCTCTACTTTCTCTGTGTATAATTCATTTGTGTCGAAAAAATTTTTCGTCGACACTGCACGCGTGAAGCAGTAGCAATGTATATCGGACAAAGTAGAAACGAGTTATTTATGGAATCTTCGAATTAGAAACGGCATACAGCAAACGTTGACTGTAAAATGTCGCCATGCTCCGATTAAAACGACACCGTACACACTGGAAGCACCGAGTTCGCCTTGCACCGTCCAAAAGCGTGACGTCTTTAACGCACGTCGCTAGAATGTCGTGCGAAAACTCCCATAAGCAATAAAGTTGCATAGTTATTCCCGGGCGTCCGGAGCCGGGTCGACCGAAAATCCGGCTGAACTAACGAAACGCATCGGCTGTTACATTCATTGAATCGAAAGACGAGCTCTTCCCGGTGCTTATGGCGGTTGCTTATCGGCCGGCTCGAGCATTTACAACACGACCCCGCCGAATCACCGAGACATAAAGTTCCCGTATTAGACGCGTCCGAGGACGTGAAACGCGATAAAGCTCGTCTAATTTACAACGGCCGCGAAGAAACGCGGCGGAGAAAGAGAAAGAAAAATGTGGAGGCGTCTCCATTACACGCGACACACACACACACACACAGCCGGCTTAAACGGATCCTTCCGCCGCCGATCGTTGTCATAAAAAGATACACCTGGATTCCACGCGGGAATCGTCGTATAATTAATTCGATGCCGGTTCGTCTTGTCGTTTCCACGGGCCGAACGGTACTGGAGAGAGATTAGGGACGCCCGTGGAAGAGTGATAACGGATGGAGAATGCTATCTGATTAGACACTACCAGGGAACAGTGATAACGAATGTGGGATGCTATCTGATCGGCTGTATCGGAATTTATCTTGGCGCCGAGCGCCGAGGAAACGATGCTCCCTCGATATTTCAGACTCGAGTCCGTCGTTTTGGAATTTTTCTCCGGGACATCGATATTGGTACTCGTCGAAACGATCGCGCAGTGTTAAACAATGTGTATCGAAGTGTCGAAAAGTATTTTTTTGTATAGGAGGTTCTTGTTATTTTTCTATTTATTAAGTTATCTTGTTTTTCTCGCGTGCTTCGATCTTATTCCTCGACGCGAACGTCTTGCGAAAAGCGTCTCGCGAAGATTGCCGTGCACCGCCATTTTCTCGAGGCCTACGGGGCCGAGAAAAATTCTGCTCACACTCCAAAGTAGCCATAAAGATTCTGCGGAAGGAAAAGTCCGCGCTCCATACGGTTCTCTTCAAATTAATTCTCAAAAGTTACATTTCTCAACTATCTCTCGGCAACAAGATCCACGGTGTCCATTTGTAAAAATTATTACCTCCATATTGTCGCGGCCTATGCGTCCAAAAAAAATCACGCGTATACTACAAAGTACCAAGAAACATTCCCTAAAAGGCCAACTCAATTCTGCTCGTCACTCGCTTAAAATAAATTCATAAAGGACCCATTTCCCGACTGTTCGCCACGCCACAATTTTTCGCAAAAAAATCTAGTTGAAATATGCACGTCGACCTGCGACAGGCAATTTTTCTCTGTCGAGGACTCCGCCTCTGCCTTCCGAATCGTTCCAAAGACGAACGACGCGAAATTCGCCGGATGTTAACATAAAATAATCTACGCTAATTAGCCTAATGCAACAAACAGAAACGCACTCGGCGACGGATAGAGGAGAGCTCACCTGGGGCAAAAGGCGACGCGTAGCACCCAACGGGCACCAAGAAGCGCCGTGGCAACGGAGTCTGCGTGCTGGAGCTGCCGGCGACGACGCGAGGCCGAGGATCGAGGGGGATCGAGGATGATCGAGGGGTGGGGGTAGATCCTCGGGAGCGGATGGTGGCGGCGAAATCTGGCCTCAGTCGTGCGCGACGCGCCATATGCGGTGGACCATTTGTCAAGCCGCTCACAAAGCCCAATAATCTCCCGTGACACGTGTGATTCCCCGATAAAAACTGTCACGTGCTGGGCCCACCCCTTTGCGCCGCCCCTGGAAAAACTTTTTCCCTGGCCAGTCTCGCTCTCGTCTGCCGAGGACAGACGCATCGCCGGCAAGCTGCAAGCCAGGAATCGTCGAAACTGATACTCGAACAGGGTGGAAACAGTGCGACCGGTGGTGACTTTCGCGAGTTCACGTTGTGAAGAAGACGCCGGAGCAGCTGGCCGCAGCCTAGGGAGCTGCGAAGTCGCCTTGGTTGGACGATGAAGAGCTAGGAAGTCGGAAGATATCGGCGTCGGAGCCGTGAATCGATCAGCTCGGACGATCTGAAAGCGAGTTCGGGGTCTTGGAAGCCGGAAGACCTGTCGCCGGACTGCACGAGTTCATCTTTTTAGAGGATAAGCCGAGCAGCGGGAACATCCGGTGTCATGTAAGCTGATCTTTCTAGGGGATAGTCGAAATTGCCGAGTGGACCAGGTGTCGCTGGCTCCAGAAATCGATCTTTTTAGAGGATAGTCCTAGAGATTAAGAAGTTCGAAGATCCGTTGCATAATACAAAGCTGATCTTTTTAGAGGATAGACTAGATAAGCAGTCGTTAGAACATCGGGTGTTACAGAGTCCATAAGCAGATCTTTTCAGGAGATAGTTAAAAAGCAGCTGCGAAGCTAAAAGTCGATCTTTTTAGAGAATATTGGATATATGGACAACGTCCAAAAGTGATCTTTTTGGAGGATAATCGTAGACGCTAAGAAACTAGATGGCCGACAGCCAAGAAAAATAGAGGACCGCGATATCAACAGCCAAGATACTTAGAAGACAAGTTGAAACTGCTGTGATAGTGTCTCAAATCCTGATGACTCGATATTTTAAGGGATACGAGAGTCCCGAGGGTTAGAAGGCTAGAAAATTAGGCTTCTTAGATCATAGAATTCTAAATACAAAAACTGACAAATCTGAAGAGGTCCCTGAATCCGATCACCCAGAGGATTCAGCGTCTAGAAAGCTGGAATACAGCCACCCTAGAAGACGTTGCTCCTAGAAGGCGACAGTCCCTGAAGACGGTAATCCTGGAAGGCGGTGGTCCTAGAAGAAGACCAGGGATCTAGAAGTCCTGGGATCGAAGCTCCCAGGGGCCACAGCCTGCTAAGACCAAGGAGGACAAAACCGCAGTAACCAAGTTCGCAGTAACAATAGTCCAAAGCGGCGGAACTCGCCCTAAATCCAATCTGCAGCCGAAGGGAGGGACTCTCTTAACGCGGCAATAATTTCCATCGGCGAATCACCAATTTGCCAGAAGAAAACCGTCTTGATCAAGAAGGTCCCGAGGTGGAAGTTCGGAGATTGCGGTCCCGGTGGACGATCGACGGGGATCTCGTTAGGCGAGCGGAGAATTTATGGTGTCGGAGATCCGAGGAGGTAAGCCGCGAACCGGCCTGCTAATTTTATGCTCGAGAAAGTTTCCGTGCCCCGGCGAAATTTATTCAAATTGACCCGTCGAATCTGGATATATACATATACACATATACGTGTGCATATGCGTGCGTGTGCCGGTATTTTTCTATCGGCAGCGGACCGACGGACAGACAGGTGACGGCCGGGCCGATGCAATTTGAATGCTAAGTCGATGCAACGATGCACTTTAGCGCGCGCGAACGAGCACGTGACATCTCGGACTTCGATCTCTTCTCGGCGACTTGATTCACTCGCGGCCCGGCTAAAGTTAGAACGATGACACGTTTTTCTTTCTTTGCCGCCTTTGTTTTCGTGCAGGACGCTTTGTCCGCGACACGGTGTCGGCCACGGAATTTATGGGACACCGTGACGCGGGATAGAGGCGTCGCGCTCGCGTTTAGGGCGAATTATAGTCGAACGCACTCTCGGCTTTCGGGGACCACCTTCTCGGAATCGAATGTGCCGTAACTTCTGTAGAAAACAATCGCCGGACATTCTAACTTGGCTCGTTTTAAAGCTTGAAAATTCTACTTTCGTCGCACTTGATTTAGTTTTCGTTTCGAATTGAGATTTTTGTTGGAACGCTGTCGAGAAAGCGTGAGTGTTCGCATCACGAAAATGTACTTACCGTTCTCGCAGCGTCCCTTATGAGAATCGACCCTACTGTAACTTCTGTAAAAAGAATCGTAAGACATTCTACCCTAGCTCGTTTTGAAGCTTGGAGATTCTACTTTGACTCTAGCTGAGTTGTTTCTCTTCGATGAAATTTTTCTAGGCGGCAGAAAATGTTCTTCACCGGAACGTAGGAGAGCAGGCCAAGGTGTGTCGGTCCGCGCAAGAAGCATGGATTCGGACGTTTTTAAGCGAGGTCGCCGTTTATTCGGTCGCTCGGCGTGCACAGTGAAAATACACAAAGCGCATACAACAGAAACTAGCACACCTGTTGGTGGAATCCCGAGAAATCCACGATTCTTCATCCGAAACGGTGATCCTCCCGCGACGCGTCTTTCTCGATACTTTCTCGCCCACGGAAAAACGGGCTCTCGTTCAATTCCCGCGAAATAACATCGCCTTACACTGACTCAGACAGAATCTCGAGCTCTCTTTTAGAACCTCCTCGACGTCGAAACCCCGGATTTATAAGGACAAACCCGGACAAATTCATTTCGATCGATTTCTACGCTCAGATTCTCGGTTTCTCAGCTTTTCAGCTCTTTCGCGCTTGAATTCCCCATCTCTAACAAATTTTGCCGATTTGTGGACCACGCTGTCCGCTTCTACATCGTGCACAGTGATTGCAGATGTTCGAAAAAATCTCGGACAAATGAATTGCGGTGTTAAATTCTCGATTTTTCAGTATTCCAGTGCACGGCACGTTCTTCTCTCACACACTTCCAGATTTTTTTGTGAAAAAAATATAACACGTTCTTCAGTCACATTTACTAGGTTTATTTACACATGTTTCAAGCAACATCGTCAAATTTTTTCGGTTGAAAAAGGTTAACAATTTGCGGCATTGGCTATTTCGAAGCTTAGATGAATTTCAGAAAGTCGGTGATTTTATCTGAAATGATACAACATTTCGTATACAAATATCGATTATTTCTATTACGAACGATCGATCAGCTTTTTGTAGACGTATTTTTAATCCTGCATTGTTTAAGAAAATGACGAAAAGAGAAATCGACGTTTTTCGAAAGAGATTCAAGCTAAAACATCTCCTTAGATTCTCAATCTTTTCAGCGTTTAGGCACGCGGACGCTTAAATTCTCAATTTGCAATGAAGTTTATCGGCTCGCCGATACACTGTTCATTTTGTGCGCAATGCACAGTGGTTGCAGATGCTGATAATTTCCTCGGGAACGTGGCCTAGCGAATTCCTGCGATCCGTCGATCACGCGGGGGTTTAGCTTCGGGATTTATATTTAGCGCGAGGTCGCCGGTGAAATAATGAATTCGGCCTGATACGCGGATTACCGGGCAGTTTAATATTTCCTGGGACGAATCGGATTCCGATATTCCGAGTCTCATTGAAACGGCGGGCCTCGCCGCGCGCAATTATGCATGACTAACATATTTGTAACGGCGGGATGAATGGGGCAAATCCCGCGAGTCGTGACTACGACCCCGTTTCAAGGGTAAACAGCGGCGTGTCCGCATGGCCGAGCGGTTTAAACGCTCGTATGTCTGTCGCTGGGCAAATGGGATCGATAAATCGGGCTTTTTGGTGGTTGCGGACGGTGCCGTGTCGCGCAACCTGATTTTACGGGGACTGCGGACCGCGGTGCTCTTTCTCCTGAATTTATTGCGAAAAAAGTTCCGGTCGGATCGGACTCGATCTTGCCTCGTTCGAGGGAGGCTATCTTGTAGAGTATTTCGGAAAATTGCTGAAGGGAGAAGTCCGAAAGTACGGCCGCTGAAGTGGTTCTTGCTTACCGTGGCTCAGCGGCAGCTAGCTCGTTCGTCATCGGTGAAAAGTAGCATTTTCGGGCATTTTTCCAAGGGAAACCAATTGATGGATCGGTTTGGCTTTTATTTCGTTTGAAAGCGGCTACTTCGAGGATTGTTTGAAAAAATTGGCGAATGAGTATGTAAACGAGCGTGTCCGCTAAAATAAATCTTGTATACCATAGTCCTGTGGCGGCTCGTTTGTCATCGGTGAGAAGTGGCATTTTCGGGAATTTTTCCGGGGGAAACCAATTGATGGATCGATTTGGCTCTTATTTCGTTTGAAAGCGGCTACTTCGAGGATTGCGTGAAAAAATTGGCGAATGAGTATGTAAACGAGCGTGTCCGCTAAAATAAATCTTGTATACCATAGTCCTGTGGCGGCTCGTTTGTCATCGGTGAGAAGTGGCATTTTCGGGAATTTTTCCGGGGGAAACCAATTGATGGATCGATTTGGCTCTTATTTCGTTTGAAAGCGGCTACTTCGAGGATTGCGTGAAAAAATTGGCGAATGAGTATGTAAACGAGCGTGTCCGCTAAAATAAATCTTGTATACCATAGTCCTGTGGCGGCTCGTTTGTCATCGGTGAACTAGTGGCATTTTCGGGAATTTTTGTAAGAAAAACCAATTGATAGATCGGTTTCGTTTTTATTTCGTTTGAAAGGGGCTTCTTTGATGATTGTTCAACAAAATTCGTGAATGAGTATGTGTACGAATATGTCCTGTAGAGAAATTCACGTGCACCATAGTCCGATTGAAGAATGTATCGTCGCTGCGATTCTTGTTTTATCACAAAAGGAACACCTCGACAGTTATCTAAAAAAAAAACAATCCTCGAAGTTGTACATCCCTCTAACATGGCGCCCAAATTAATTTCCCGGCAATATAGTTGCCTGGCAAGCTTCCCTGCCATAACTTTCCACCGCGTACGCTTCAAACCCTTCAATCTCGCTCGTATCGACTTGCAACTTCGACAGCTCGCTTCCAGAAAGATTCGCGGAGTTGCCGAAACTAAAGATTTTCGGCGAAATAACGTAGCGCAAGAGTCACGGTCACTTTTTTCCTGCTCTAATAGACACGTTTGCGGGAGAAACATCTTTTCCCTGGGATCGATACGTCTCATTCTCGCAACTCTGATTACTTTCTCGCGGCGCGGCGGCACTATAGTCGAGCTAGGGGTGTATTTTTACCCCCGGTGGAGTGCTTGGTGCTCCACGGTCACGAACAACTTTCCCCCGGTAACTATATCGCACGGTACTTAAAGTCTCGAGTCTCGCGGCTCGTCCCGCGAGACCATTTACAATTTCATCGCACGACGTGTTGTCACTCGTACGAGTTTCGGAACGTGTCCCGGAATATCCGTGTAGATCGTTATCCCGCCTAGAATTGCCCTAACCGATCGCCTTGTTGTATACGAAATCCGAAAAACGGCCGACCCGTGGAACTAACGATCAATTTGCTCGAGCTCTGCAGGCGTCGCGCGCGTACAACGGGGCGTTTCAAGTGTTGTCTTCTTCGCGGAGAAGACCGAGAACGATCTTGGCGCACATCGTTGCATTCGGGAGCGTACGCAGATTCGTTTCGCGCGAGATTCGTTAGCGTGGCTCTTATGGTTGAGGCGCAAAAAATTGTCGAAGTTGCATACTCGATTTCCTTTCTCAAAATATACGTAACTTCGATTTAATTATGCTGAAACCTGTTTAAACGTTTATAATTGTTGTTTAAAAAATACCATCGTATTCGGGAGAGTCTACGGAATCGTTTTACATAAGATTCGTTGGCGTAGCTCTTACGATTGTCGTAGAATAAATTCGCGAAGTTGAAAGTTCAGTCCGGAAGACCGAAATACGTGTATCAGAAAGAGAACCGATTCGAGATAAAGGCGGAAACGGAATTGCGTTTTCTTTTTTTCTTTTCTTTTTTTGGTAGCGGCGCCGACTTGGCATTAGCGCGTAAACGCCCGGGCATTTTGTTCGGCTAATAGCGGGCAATTAGGAGCGCTAATTGCGAGTTAAATATTTCAGGTCTTCCGCGGCGGCGCTGAAATATTCCTCGTGTTACCGGCGTAATGCAACTCCAACTACTCACGCAACAATCTCGGTTAATATTCATCCAATTCAGACTTTTTTTTCCCCACTTGAAGTTCATCGTAAAACACACGCCAAACCACTCGCCGTTCTAATTACAATTCCGACAAAAGGTAACTGTACGGTACGCTCGCCGGGGCAACGTTCAAATTAGTAGTTTCAAGTGTCGTTAAATGAAATAACGCATTTCCGATCTATTATTTAATAACGACGTAATTGTTGGAGAGACGCGCCGCGACAATTGACGTTTGCCAGTCTTAAATGCAATTCGAACGAATAGTATTGTAAATACAGTCACGGGTGTGACATCGAAACGAACGTTTTTAAATATTAATCGCACGGATAGAATGTATCCAATTTCGATGTATCATTTAACAACAATTCGATGCGATCGTTAGAGCAATGCGTCGTATTAATTACATCGTGTT